TGATCTATTGGGAGCTCACCAAGGCCAGCTGGACTGTGACTGAAAAAGCATGGGATAAAACCGGACTCTCTGATCATGGCGAACAATGAGGGCTGATGAGAAGCCAAGGAAAATGGCACGGGGTTTTGATCCCACTTCATGTTTTGGCTTGGTGGGAGCCTAGCCAGTTTGGATGTTCACCTTCCTGGACATGGACGGAGGGGGGAGGACCTCGGACTTTCCACAGGGCAGGGAACCCTGACTGTTCTTTGGACTGGAGAGGGAGGGGGAGAAGAGTGGGGGGAGGGGAGAAGGGTGGGAGGAGGGGGAGGGAAACGGGAGGCTGGGAGGAGGCGGAAACTTTTTTTTTCCTTTTCTCAATAAAAAAAAATTTTTTTACTGTTTAGATTGTCACTTCCTTTTCACTAGGTCATTCAAATGCTATTTCTTTGATTTCAGTAAATTAAAAGTAATAAATTCTATTTTTGATATTACTGATTAACTGCTATTATTGGCTTTGAATATATGCTAGTTTGAATAAGCTAAAAAAAAACCTGAATTTGTCTACAAAACACACCAAAGGCAATATAGGCCTTTATAAGCAATATAGGTCACTGATTCTAAGTGGTTGATGGTCATTGAGCACCACAGATCAAAGACTATGTCTTGAAAACATGCTTTTAGAATTTAGAAAAAGAGTGTATAATTAGGCTGTATTGCTAAAAAAATATTTAATGTTGTGGGGTTAAAGAGATGGTGCTGTTTAAGAGCTCTGACTACTCTTACAGAGAACCCAGGTTCAGTTTCCAGCACTCACACAGTGGCTTACAACTGACTGTAACTCCAGTTCCAGAGGACTTAATGCCCTCTTCTGGCCTATGAACTAGTGGTTGTACAGACGTTCATGCAGACAAAATACCCATACAAAGAAAAAATAAATCCTAAAAAATTAAAAATATTTAGTATTGAAGTACATACAAGTACTAAGATGTAGAAATGAACAAGACAGGTATAGTTCAACTGTCATAAAAATTTAAGTCTAGTAAGAAGTTCCTAAGAATGAAATACAGAAAGTAAAGACATGAGAGATTTTAATGAGAAATAAAGTTGGGCCCGGTACACATCTGCAATCCCAGATATTTCAGGAATCTGAAAAGAGGATCCCTTGTACCCAGAAGTTTGAGATCAGCTCGGACAAAATACTTTAGGACATAGATGCACTCAAAACAAAAGTTTTCTAAATAAAAATGTATTTACTCTTTCCTGATGAAAAACAGTTGTATCATTTTCCTTCATTGATTCCTTCAACGAAGGAGTCACGTCAGTCTCCTTTAACTAACCAGTGTTGAACTATGAGATCTATGCACTGTCTTTAGCCACAGTAAATAACAGCAACATCTCTAATTCTCTGCCATTCCCAAATTTCTATACATGTGCCTAGAGAAAAAAAACGTACTTGATACTATTTGTTGTCTGGGGGTGACTTCAGCACCCAGTCTTTCAAAGGTTCAGCATTCCATTGCCGCTTTGCTGGCTATAGGTAAAGAGGCACTCCTGTTCTCATCTTGCAGAGGTTTGACTGCTCCTGGACTGGACAATAATATCACCACTGCAACTGGAAGCATGGAAGTTGTTTACCATTTTGATGATTCTGTGTTGTACTTCCAAGATGTCTTAAAAGCTTTCCAGATGTACCCACATTTTTCTGCTTTTCCATATGTTCCTTCATGATTATTTTGAGAAATATAGTCAAAAAATTCTGCTTCCACTGCATAATGCATGAACTTGTCATTTTTATATTAAGTACAGTTTCCATGTCTACTTCCTAAGGAAGACTAGGGTCCAGGTTTTGATTCAAAGCTGAAGCACTTAAAAAAAAATCTAGGAACTTAATATTGTAAGTCAGCAGTTCTCAACCTGCTGTGACATCTATGGGGGTCCAATGACCCTTTCGCAGGGGTTGCCTAAAACCAGCAGAAAACACAGATATTTACATAATGATTCATAACAGTAGCAAAATTAGTTATGAAGTAGCAAAAAAATTATGGTTAGGGTCACCACAACATAACTGCATTAAAGGGTTGCAGCATTAGGAAAGTTGAGAACCATTTCTGTAAGATGTTAGAAGGTCAACTTCAACCTCTCTAAGACCTCAGAGTGGTGATCTGTCAGTAATTTATTTAAGTAATTCTAGAACCTGAATAATTACACCTCACCTTTAAGCGTTCTGATATTTGTCCAATGATACGCAGGAACTTGTTAATAAAACCTTGGTTCCTATTGTTTTTAGGCAACATCATACTTTACACCAAGAAATAATGCCTTTTTATTATTCTTTTAAACACAACAACGTCCTAACAATATTATGGTATCAAATTTTACTGCGAAAATCAAGGGGAGTAGAGAACACACACTGACACACATATTCTCACCAGCAGAAAATAGCATCCTGGCAATTTAATGAAGAATAAACCATGAAATTAGTTTACATAGAAGGAGATATGTTGTGGAGAATTACTCAATCTGTACTCAGCTTCCTGCTGGGTTAAATGTGAGCTAAATTATTATTTTGCTTCCACTTACACCCTTTTAGAATGTGAAAGCAGAGCTTTGCTTTTCTACACTACTGCAAAAACTCTCCATTTCTACACCATACTATTCTTGAATAGGAAGTCATTTCTACACTATTTTAGTAATGAGGAAATATTAAAAGTACTGAAAAGGTAGAGGGAGGCAGATCTCTGGAAGCCAGCCTGATCTACATAGTGAGTTCCAGGATAGTGAGCACTATGTAGAGTGACCATACCTCAAAACAAAACAAAATAGTAAAAAAAAAAATTCTGCAAAGAAATGGATTAATATAAATATATAATTTCATTATAAAAATTAGCATCTATACTGTAAATATTTTCCATTTTTATCATGTCATCCACTAAATATTTAAGTCTAAACAATATATGTAATATAATCATAATAAATAGTCTTTATAAAATCAAATATGGAAACAATGTAACCATAACACAAAAACCTACTAACCATGTCTGTTCAATGCCTGGAATAGATCAGGCTAGTAAATTACTGTTAATTGAATAAATAAAGAGCTTACCACTATTCTGAAAGACTACACTCATGGCAGAAAAACTCAGGACATCTCAGTATACTACAAACCTGGGATCACTCTCTGCCTCCCCTTTGGTGTCTATTGTGCAAGTACTAAGAAGCTCTAGTGCTTGCTATTCAGGAGGCCTGTGCTATATGGGGCAAAAAACATCAGGTAGTTCAACCCCTGACCCATTTCATTCCCCACTTAAAAAAATTAGTGGAAATAATTCTGCTTTATCTTAGATCTTCCTACGAATCTCTCCAATGGTCACTTTCTAGTGGTATGGAACGCTAAAAATGACAGAACTTCAAACCCATAGCTGCTATCATTTTAATGGTAATTCCAAGCCCTTCAAAACTCTGCTCTTCTTCCTTCTTCGTTCTTAAACATGAATCTCAGACATTCATCACCATCAGATTACAGGCTGAAAGAACGAAAGGGAACACAGAAACAAAGAAAACACGAAAGTTCTCAATTAAGCCCTGTGTTCATGTTTCCCTAAAGGGATGTTCTCACAAAAATGAGAGGCAATCATTGTAACATCATCACTGCAGAGATAGTCATAAGGAACTGAGACATAAGGAAAAGCCAGTAGAGGACAGAGATGATACTTGAACACACAGCTATATGAACAACATTCTTTTACAAACTTGGCACTCAGTCTCTCTATACATGTTTCCTCTTCTGAAAAATGGGGACAACAGTAACAGAGAAAATAGATTAATATTTATAACAAACTAAATGTCTACTAACAGTAAGTATCATCTATTTGTTTGCTAATAAACTAAACTACCCTATGATAAAAAGAAAAGCAATGAAAAGACTTAGGGAGGAGGGAAGGTGACGATACATGTAGTCAAGCATTAAATATTTATCTTTTTAAGGCAAATAAAAGAAATTCGAGGGCTAGAAAGATATTTGGTAAAGTGTTTGGCACAGAAGCATGAAGACTTGACTTCAATCTCCAGAATCTGCATAAGAAACTTGGACATGATGGCACAAGTTTGTATTCCCAGCACTTGGGAGGCAGAGACAAGTGATCTCTGAGCTCACAAACCAGTCAGTCTAGCTGATTATGTGAACTTCGAGGGACTTCTACCTCAAAAAAATAAAAAAGTGATAGAGAATGATGAAGGCACCTTACGTTGACTTCTAAACCCTCTGCACAATCGTGCAACACAATACATGAAAAAACGTCAACTTCATTATTTACTATACTTGATCCTGTTTTGTTATTTCCCATTCTCTTTAATAATAATCTCAATTTAAAAAAAAAAACTGCCAATACTCTCATAGAAATTTTCTTTCTTAATTCAATATCAAGTAATCCTGGAAATGCAATAAAGTGGATAGATTACTTAAGCATTTCATTTCTTTTTAGTTCATCAAAAATGCTACTTGAAAAGAACAATGCAAAGGCTGTATCTCATTTTTTAACATTATTCCTTTCCTGTGCTTCCTCTTTTATTGTACAACGTATTCTCACTCTGACTTTAGAAACATTAAACTACTTACTAGGCTTTTAAAATTACTTTGGAAAAATTACATTTTTAACTGTTAATATCTTATATATAACCATTAAATATTAGCAAAGTACATATTCTTGATTAAAATTTTAAACTTTTTAATTTTTAAATTGAAAAGAAAATAAACTTCTATTTCAATGAATCCTGTTATATACAATTCAAATGTAAGAACAAAAATTATTTTAAAGACAAATAATTTATAATACTTTAATATCTATAGTTAAATGCATGAAAAAGTAAAACACACAGAAGTAGAATCCCCTTGACGTTCCCAGATAGGTGATTTTCTTATCCTCTTTGAATATGGAGCTAATGTAGCAATTTGTGGCCAGTCAGCTGTTAGAAATTTTCTCAAGAAAGAACTGTGCTTAAATGTTATCATCAAATTGAAGAGCCCAGATACTTTTATTTCATTTAAAAAGACAGAGCAAATCAAAGAAAAGCAACAAGAAATAAAACACTATTCAATTGTTCAAATAAACTCATTCTCCTCTTCAAATCAAGCTTATACATCGGAGAAATACCAGGGAAGCCAATTTTCAATGTTAAAAATGAATTTACTTACCTTGGCCCTCTGAGGGCAGTATTACCTAACACATGGCCAAATATTTCAGGAAACAACATTTACATCTCATTCTAATGAAAATCAGATTTAAAAAATGGAAATGAGCATAACGTTCCTCATTATATATTAATATTTCTATCTTTATCATCATTTGTATATGGACATAATAATGGTTATTTTGAAATGCTTGTAGTAACTTTAAAGAAAAAAACAAGATATCAGGAAGAAAAATGTCTGGAAGTATCTTATAAAAGTCACCCCAAAAAAGGGGAGGCGGCGGTGGGGAAGAGACAGAAATCTTTAATAAATAAATAAATTTAAAAAAAAGAAATTTATTTTAAGTTATACATAAGCACACGCGCGCGCGCACACACACACACATATTGTGCTGTTCTCTGTAGAACAGTCATTTTATAGTTTTTAAATTATAAGGCAATATACATTCTTAGTAATAACTCACAGATTAACAACTAAGATTAACCCCAAAATTTCTTCTTAAAAGCAACAAACAACCAGTAAGCTTATTTGTAATAAGTTATTCGTTAATTAATAAAAGCCAATGCAAAGGTGAGTTAACTGTAGAGCACAGAGTTTTCACAACTAATTCTCAAAGGGAAAACACCTTTGGTCTCCATACTAGCTCAGAGAACCTTGGATATTTTATTTTATTCCTCAAAAAGTACATTATGTGGGGAAATGCTTTCTACAATTAATTTATTGACCATTTTCATAAAATAGATTATAACCCTGTAAAATTCAGTAGTGTGATAGATCATATATTTAGCATTATAAAAATGTTAATCTTACCATCATAGTTTTATGTATAAGTTAACTGATGATTAGTCACACCTAAACTTCATACCAATAACATGAAAACACACAATATGTAAAAAGGAAAGAAAATCCCTAGCTCTTAAAAAGCGGCATACTGAAGGGAGATGAAAATTATTACAAGACAGTGACAGAAAATTTACATTTACACAGCCAATCAGTTGACATATGCTTAAACTGAGTTTTTAATGTAGATTTTTATATATCTTTTAGAAAAGTCTTTTTCTCCCTATAATTTAAGGTATTAATTCCCACTTACCAAGTATGTTAATTTTTTAAACTCTGAATAACCCAGACCTTTAACATTTTTATTAGTAAAATTTTTAAAAAGTATTACTTTGAAACTACACTATTCCATGAATGTCTTGGGGGAATTGGGAAGAAAAAAATTAAAATTAAATTCCAAATCTTTGTAACCAAACCAGAAAGTAGAGTGAACTAATCGCAAACACAGAGAAGGAAACAATGGCCATTTGATAATGTTCTACACACATACACACACACACACACACTAATATCTCTTCAGAAAGATGCCAGGCAGCGACAGCTGCTGTTCCACGTGTTTTCACTTACAAGTATAAAATAATGAA